TGTATGATATTTTAACGAATAAAAACAATAACGACATTATATATTTACTTCTCAGCCACTAGTGGGAAGACTCTAAATCAGTACCCACTAGTCAATTATTAGTGTCATATAATATTAACTAACCTGAAGGAAGACAGGTGATATTTGCTGAACCTTTTAAGAAAAATCCAGGTGGACAGTTGAAGTATGTTGTCTGACCAAGCCTATGCCCACTCGCTCTATAGTTGAGATGAGGATTGAGATCCATGCTGGGCACTGGCTTACAATGAATATCTATTCAAAATAATGAAAATATATAAGTAYAMAAAAGTTAATTAAAATGATTTTAGTAACATGCCTACAAAATATCAATTTCTGAATTTATTTTTTATTTTTTTATGGAAATATAAAAATAGATAATTTATTGTTCATATGCATAAAATAATATKGTAAAAAATTAGCCTGATAAGTGATTTGATCTATAAACCAAMAACAAGATAAAAATCAACTATCTATAGTTCATAMATTTGTATATTCATATAACTATGGATAGTCAGGTAAATTATTGATACCGATACTAGTTTAGTTTCACAAATAATGCTTTAAATTCTTGGCAATGATACCAATGGAAAAATATACAAACATTTAACCATGAAAATTTGTTTTTATGTGTTATTGTATTATAATACTATTGATCCACTTAAAATATACAAGAGTTCAGTATTTTGTGTATACTTATGATTGGTATCATTTACTGATAAATAATTACATTTCRTTCAATTATTTTCAGTTTCAACAGTTCCTTACAAGAACAAATGAAACCGAAGAACTAAAAACTGAAGCCTGACCCTTACCTAATTCTACCTGAATTTTATAACATTTTAAAAAAGTGATTAAATTGATCACTAATTTTATTTATAATATTTATAATTAGTTTTATATGTAATTGTTGTATATAAAAAATAATAACAACGTTTTAACAAAGTTCGAGTTCCTTTGAGATATTTTTGATGACATTCCTAGCTTAAAAACAAACAATAATTTGTATTATTAAAATAATAATAAAAAAAGAAAAGTTAATCTTAAGTTAATATTATATTCAATTTTAGTTGGACTAGTCAAGGTCTTCATTTACATTTAAATATATCTATCACACGTAGTTATTAATATAATTTTTCAATGTAGTATTAATTAGTACAATTTTTGGTAACACCGACAATCAATCAAGTATTTTACCTAACGTAGGTGTGAGTACACGTAGTTATTAATATAATGGTTGCTAGTTCTATTAAATTTTGATTTTTCACTTTTCCATTTTGCACACTCTGTATATTTTATATATTTAACCATTTTTTTGATCTCTTAACTGAATTATGTATGATTGCTWATATTTTTATATCATTAAAATGCTTGGTTCAAATTTACAGTAAAGCTTTTGTTCTACCAATGATACCAATTTATACATTTTTATAATAATAGATAATTATAATGAACCATATATTATAATATAATTCATATTACACATTTTAAATGGTGTTCRTAATATAATGAGTTCATAGCTGTGTAAGACACAACAAAATACGATGTTTAAACAATAGTTTATTACAGATCAGTGATTACCTATTTAAATTACCCTAACGATTACCTGTCATTAGCACATACCATCAARCCAACAACAAAAATTTAAAAATATTTGTGTATGTGTATGTACCCATGATATTTTAATATATGGTGTTTATTAGTCATGTTATGTGAAAAGTTGGATATAAATTAAGATTGTTTGTACTGAAAATTTAAATAAAATGTGCCAATTTTCATAAGAATATAATTATATTATTATTTTTTCGATTTTCTATTGAGWAGTTAAGGAGTTAATCTTACGATTTTGCTACCATTTTAAGTTGTCAAACGTAAAATATTTTGTCAATGCGATATTTACATACAAATTGGTATAAAATCGATGATTAAATGTAATTTTTTAGTTTTACGTTAATTGTTTTCGATGAGGCAATAAGGAGATTTAAAAAATATAAAAATATCAATTTTAGCATAGCATTGGAAAGTAAAACTCAATAATTTAAGTAGGTTATTGAAGTACTTACAATAAACTTGAAACAAGTCAAAAAGTTATTCTCTTTTTGTTATAAAATTATCCTAGAATAACTGTACAACTTTAATTAAAATATATACTAATGCACCAAAATCGACACAATTATGATTTTATTTAATAAACCWWTATTCAGTACAAAGTCGCCATAGAAATTATTATGCTAAAGTATGCTTACTAAAAAAACTATGTCATCCGAAAATCAGTGAAATTAATCAACAAGAATACCTCGAATATGCACTTACYGTAGTGCTTGAAATTTAAAAGTGGCAATGGGGGATGAGGTCTTATTTTAAAAGAAAATATGTTTATGTACTGCTCGTCTATAATATATAAGAAGACAACTCTATTGCCCACATTGTTTAATGTCTCGTACACATATGAACCAAATTAATTATACAAATATGCACACGGAAAACTAGTTTATCATCCATGTAGACTAGTTAGCTACGTGGATGATACAGTACTTCTTRTTGAAGGCCAGTTTTGAGATGAAATATTTGCTAATATAAATTCGGACCTAAGTAAAATTTAAAAAGGGGCTTTGTAATTTTTTAACAATTTATTCTTAAATTTAGAAAAAAAACTATATATTACTTCATTAAATAGTTAATTCGAATCAACCCAACAAAACAAGTCTATATATACACGAGAATGAGTGTTTAAATCGAAACATATGTAAATGYCAAACCTTTGTAAAAATAGTTAAAATCTGTAAATACTTAGGTATAGAAATGTGTTATAATCTTAAATAGAATAACCTCATAAAATTTGTAACAAATACATTCCACATTCCCATTTCAACACAATCCACATACTTATATATCGGTCTAAAAGTTTACAATTTATTACCGTCAGAAATTAAACAAAGCAACCCTAAAGATTATTAAAAAAAAAATACACAATGGCTACTACATAAACAAAATATAGACAACATCCTAACAAATGTATAGAATTATTTCATTATTTATTTAGAATTAAGTTAGATTATTTTAGTATTTATTTATAATTTTAGTCTTTTACTTTAAATTATATTGTATCATATTATATTACAAAATTGTAATTATTTAATTTATTTAAACTATTTAATGGATTTATATTTAAAATTATCAATTAATGGGCCTTCACACGAACATGTTTCAGAAAAAAAAAAAATATATATATATATTTTATATATCCCAATCAATAAGCCCACATATTTTTAAATATTTAAATATTTTATCATCTACCTCCATTGTTTTCACCAATTTATGTACTGCTTAACCATAAACAACTCATCCACATTTCCGTAACTTCAAAAATTKTTCCGYAAAATTAAATCACTAAAAATATTCAAAGTTAATTAAACTCAATTCAAAAGAATATAGAATTAATGTACCATCAAACGTAGATATAATCGRTAATGATATGATTGATAATATTTWATTTTAGTTATTTTGAATAGAACAACCCTTTACTCTACAATTACTGAAATTAAATCAATGTCATCAAAGCATGGATAAAACAAAAATCGATGATTGATTATAATAAAGCAAATCTAGGTATTGAAATTCTATTCCATTCACTTATAAAGTTAAAATTAAAAATGGTTAAAAAAAAAGTTTTTATAAATGGCACTATTCCTCAACATTTAAAAAAACGATATAAAATTAAAATATCAAGAGTCAGAATCGGATAATGACCAAATTATCTTCTTCGTTTTTAATCAAAAAAATATATCCTTCAACCAAATCCAATAAATGTCAGGTTGACCTACACATAATTCAAGTGGCATAGAATAACAAAATATAAATGAATAACTTGTCAATACCAAACAATCTACGAAAAGCTCGAAACGCAGAAAATGTGTAAACTTTCTAACTTAAATACGTTATAAATACATTATAACGAGCATAGATGTTGAAATATCATAAAAATAATAAATAAAAATATACGTGAGAAAATTGGTGAATAATAATGTTCACTACAGACTGGAACACTAAAATGTAACGYTATACTTATATAGGTACCTACTAAACATGCTACCTAGTATGCCACRGGCACTATTCATGAATTCGCCATGCAGAATATACCTACATTTTATACATACTTATAAGAAATAAAAGGGAATATTGATTCAATATAAATTAACGTTGATAAATTATGTTGATGGGAAATTAATAAAATAAAGACATAATTAACTCGATTAKAAAAATTGAAAAGTTAAATACAAAAGAGAAAGACCATCAATATCTAACTAATTAAGATAAATTAAAATTATTATACACATTTGAGTGGAAAAAATGGACTGAGTAGTAATAAATTTCTTCCGTATTCTGTTGGGCAACAAAATTCACCAATAGAACTTAATAAATAAAGAAAAAAAATGCATGTTCAACGTTTAGTGTTCCAGAGACGACTAAATATATTATATTCATAGGATACAGAGCTACTTAAGATAAAGACAATATTAAATAATYTAAAAAACCTTCACAGTTAATTTTGACTTTTTGAAGACATTATTTAAGTCTTAATAAAAATATATTATAACAGTAGGAATAATTAAAATTCTAGATTCTGAGCGGAGCGACGAATATATTGATTTTACATTGTTATGTGTTTTTTGTCTGTGTACATGATCACTTGTCAAAATAATGCTTCGATTTTTAACTCCAGTAGCTTTTCCGATTATAAAGTGAAGCTATGTGGTGTATTAAGGAGGTTAAATTTTGAATTATCAAGTAATTTTCAAAAGCACCGAGAAAAACAAAAAAAAAAAAAAAAATTAAGGAAAAACGGGAATTTTTATACAAAATCAATTTTTGTGAAAACCGAATTTTTATATTGGTGTAACTCTAAAACAAATTACCATAGACACATGACATTTCCACTAAATGTTTATACTGGAATTTTCTATGCTTAGTACAATTTTCAAAACATTTAAAATCTTTTGAAATTATTTACAAACGTTTAAAATTTTCTAACTTTAAGTTTTTTTATTTTTTTGTTATTTAGTCGACAAATACAACGAAAATATAAAAGAATAAATAACATTTTATAATATTGTTAGTTTATAAATAATTGTAATTACTCTTATCTTTTTTTTTACGGTTTTATTATTTCATAGTAAATTGCATAAATGTTATTTTCATAATTGTTATACTGCAAAAACCTAATAAATAAATTAAAAAAAAATGTAATTTGTATTATTATTAATATTATGGAAGACAGTAATATTTTTAAATACACTAACCACAATTTTATTTTTTAAATATTTTTTGTTAACACTTTGATGCAAATTTGATATTTTTCATTTGATGTCTCCTAAATTATTATTCGTGTTTCTTTTACGGTATATCCCTATAGATTGTACAATTCATTTTTCATTTACTAGTAATCCCCATGAGTATGTTCAGTACAAAGCATCAACCCGTATTATATTTTTATCTTATAAACCAAGATAAATATATGCATTTATTAATACCAATGAGGTTTATAAGTTATAACAAAAGTTATAACTYATTACGTAATWGTTTTATTTCAAAACTTTTTTATACAATTACTTAATAATCTAAATCAACCAATTACCATTTTATGTATTATGTTATTTAGTTTACAACATACTAGTAGGTATAAGCTACGAGTAATAAATATAAAATATCGATTACTGTCTTAAATTAATAGTACCTACATGTAACGTATAGAGAAGTTTRTRATAGTATTTAAATTATTATGCAATATACTAATGCATTCATAATTAAATTCACAAACTACCAAAAAAATAATAAATAAATAAAAAAATAATATGACCATAAAGTAAATAAACTCTAAATTCTCAGACTTATCTCCTATCCTATCTGGCGTTCTCCAAGTTGTGATTTATTTTACCATTCTATATTATCAACGTATTAGACTAGCCGATAATTATTATTTAAACCTTAGAAACCAAATTCATCGATGACAAAATCTGTTTTACAATTTATGACATATCRTTAACCACCAATAAATGCCTGATTAGGTAAAACATTAATTTAAATAACATGAAATCGTAGTATTACGAAAAGAAAATTAAAATAAATAATGAAATGTCTTCTGAATTCCTGATATTCATTTTTTTCTTCGACAAAATAAAGTTGTTTCAGTTTTGACTAAGCAATACAATTATTCCTTTTTTCCGTGTCCAATATTTTGGTTTGAAATTAGACAAACATCTAATCATGGATATTTAACCTTAGACTTCAACAATAACTCAGAAAATCTACCAAGAAGACTTACGAGAAACTACTATAGAAATTAGTATCACAAAATAAAACWAAATTTTAAGCAATTTTTAAAGAAGGCATCTCGTCAAAATATTTTTGTTAAGTACGAGTACGGTTAAATCCATTAAATTTATTCTTTTATGTATAACTAATTAACTGTTGTCACATATTATGCTTATTGTAAAAATGTTGCATTTTTGTATATTTATAATAAATACCTATATATAAAAAAAAAATCAAAAAAATCATCAGTTTAGTTTAAAAGGTCAAGTTATACTTCAAATGATATGTTAATTGTAATAATTAATCACTATTATTTTTCGTTATATTATACCCAATCTGATACCAAATTATACAGCTGATTAATAAAATAACAAAATGTTAATATAAGTAGACATAGCAATTAGGTCGATTATTTACATATTTTATCAAAGATTTATTTCTACACACTTATTATCCTGACACAGAAATGTAACAATACTCTTAGAGCTTTATAACCCAAAATAATTATTGAGTTATTTTATAATATGAATCTTTAAAGAAAAGTAAAAAAAAAATACTTTTTGTAGATTTTTCTTAATATAATCAAAACTCAGTGCATACAATATTAATAATTTGTCATTATTTAATTAATCCAGTGTAATTATTTTGAGTTTAAATTTTACTTAATTTTATGATTGTACAGTTATTTTATAGGACATACGTTTAACATTGGATTGTATATTAATATAAATAAATTATTTTTTGGTTTTGTAAATCTATTCATACAACACTCATTTACAAAACAGTGACTGAATCGTTCCAACTTACTGCAAATATCTAATTGTATGATTTTGTTTTTTATTTAACACAATATGTTTTTAATATCATAATATTACGAGTATTTAATCGATAGATGTATCTTTGAAAAGCATTTTAAGTTCTCACCATTAGCACATCCTACACCGTTGGAATTGATCCAACTAAAATTAAAATATATAAGCCTTGGTTCGTATTATTGTTTTTTTGAAATAAAGTATTTMTTAAAACATTAGTTTTAAAAACTTGATTATTTTTTTTCTATCAATTTCTTAAAAGTATATATAAAATAATTTATACATCTGTCATTATTGTGTATTACTGTCAAAGCTTACCTGACACTTGAAGTGTTATAGTGTTATTAATGCCACGTGATGAAGTACAAGTGAATGAGCCTGTATCGAATTGTTTTACATAGTAAATAGATAATCGATACTTCCAGTTGCGTTCGTCGTTTCCTATCGCCCATCCTGAAAAACATCATTAAAATAATTATCATTGAATTATTGTTATTAAAAAAAAATATTTTATTTTGCTCCAAAACGTAATCATCTTTGCGATTTCAAAGAGTCGCAGACGAAAAGCAAAAATAAATAAACAGAACACAGTTCGTTGAGCACTGAACCTCTAACGAACTAGAAGTAATATTGGACACAGAGCGATAGAGAGAAAAAAATGTGTGTCGTCATAAAAATGTGTGAGTACACGAGAAAATATGCGCAAGTTAGGCTGGGATTGTTTTAGATTTTAATTCCGTATAAATACAAGCTATCCGGAGGTCGTAAAGCCTGTATAAAAATTCGGCGATACGTGAAATGTGTTTTAAACGCTGAAATTGTTGGTGGAAATCAATACTACGTAAATTATTCATACTCGTTGGAAATCATGCAAAACAATTGGTTTTACTGTTAGTAAGAGAATTGCGTGAAAAAAAAACTAATCAACTTTCATCTAATCGAATAAAGATCGATATATAAGGTACTCGCTTGTGTCTATATATATTCTTCACGGTAATTGAATGGTTTGCTCGTAAAAAAAAGTTTGTTTTCAATGTCCGTTAAAAACCTAAATACTGTAATAGAACAAAGTCGAACAAATAATTGCACAAATGGAATTAAGTTTAAATTGGCTAATTTATAGTAACTATTGGTCATAAATCGTTATACGTTTTAAACATTTTATGTTTAGATTTTACTCAAAACTAACATAATTTTCTAAAATCTTATAAGGTAACAATAAATCCTTCGAGTTAATAAAAAAGCTATTGCAATATGAATGTGCTATTTTTTAAGTATTTCCTATATTCAATTCGATCGATTTGATCCCAAACGAGCATTAAGGATTATATTTTAAGTGGAACATTAATTGATCCAAAACTTATTTTTGACAATTTAAATACTTTTTAAGAATAATTTTTTACAAAAACTATCTCCTATTTGAACACTTAATTAAGTTGTCAATGAGAGTTATACATATATTAAGATTAATATGTTAATGTTAATTTTTAGTTGGTATACCTATATAGTTATACGTATTACGTATAGTTCATTTAGAAATAAGAAAACTTGCAACAAAACAATAAATGGAGTTATACAGTGTTTTTTAAAATAATCGTAATAATGAATATATTTTTAATTAACTACGATTAAAACAAAGTTTGTCTTTTCCTCCATAAAAATGCATTTGATTTTCATATTATGTTGATTAAATTAAATTAGTTTGTTTAGTATTTGAGTATTTTGTTATGATCTTTTAGTTAAGATTTCATGATTATGTAATATATTATTCTTATTTTTTATTTTATCACAATATATTTATGAATTTATAAACAATATAATTTTGACTTATTTCATTAAATTGATGAAATAATATTTCACCAATTAAATTAATCTTGTTTAAGTTATTATATTATATCATGTTATAAAAATTTAGCAATTAATCATATTACTATGGACAAAAATAAATTATTAAAATAATGAATTGTACTAAAACAATCTTATAGTTAATATTTTAATGCTTAAAGATTAATTCTGTTGATTCCAGAAACACGAATGATTGAATTGAGTTGAAATATTTGGAGTTATTGAAAATAAGGGCGAATTCTACTGAGATTTTCAAATTAAATATTTTTTTATTAATATTTATATATTTTCCTTCATTAATCGTTATCATTGTATTGATTATTTACAGCGAGCTGTTGAAGGATTCTAATATCCTTTATTTTTAAAAAAGAAAATTACCTCAAGTAAAGTGAACACAAAAACAAGTTATTACTGCCATATTTATGCTATAGGTACTATGTGCAATAATAGATTTAAATACCTTACCTATTTCTTTCACATCCTGAATCACCTTTCCATACATTATTATATTCACTTTTTGGATGACCTCATGATAAATTAAGTAAGTATTATAATGCGTATATACGTTTTAGGTATATAAGTTTTAGTTACCTATAATAATTTATTCATACTCTAATTTAAAGAAATGTCATGATTATTAATAAACTTCGATAACAAGTTAAAATATTTTTAACCATTCTATCATCGAGGATTACCTGATTCTTTTTTTTTTTTTGTATGGAGAACCCGCGGCAACATAGGCCATTGGGTGTGGGGTGGTACGGTATAGGGGTTATTTTTTTGTATATTTGTTTGTAGGTTTTTAAGTGGGTAGGGTTGTAACACGTGTTTGTGTATGTGTTGCAAAGATATGTTGCTAAAAAATCCCGGGTGGTCACCCATCTGGGAGCTAGCAACTGCGGCCGGTACGTACACTCAGTGCGTTTCCGCAGATTGAGCGTACGACCGCGCCTCACCAAGCCACTACCTGATTCTTAATTATTTGTTAGTCAAGTTATTTACTGATATACATATATTTTGGTATTGATATGATGAAATCCTAATGCCTTAAGATTAAGCAATATACAAAAAATATATACTAAACATAGGTGTATAAGGCAGTGTCAATTATGCCATGGCTAAATGTGGTTAGGACTAGTGTGTCGTAGTAGAAAGAGGCTGAGAAACGCTGTTCTGATGTATAACTATGTGTAATTATATAATGAATTCACTCACTGGAATTATTAGAATTATAAGATCTAATCAAACATTACAAATTACAATATGCAACATACAATATATATAATACAACCWTTATATTATATCATTATAMTTGGCATATTTTAATAAATAATATTAATTGATGTGGAAATAAYAAGACATTTGTTACAATCAAAATTGAATGTTTAAAAWATAATATACTTTAAATTTAACTTTTCTTTTCTAGAATTATTTCATGATACAATATTTTATGTATATCAGCAATAATCAAATTGGATTTATAAAATATATTTATTCAACTGTAAAATAATCGCTGAAATCGTATACAAATATCATCTGGCATACTTAGTTAAATAAAAACTAAACATTTTATGTATAAAATATAATAATGTATTAATGTATAAATTAAAAAACTAAAAGCTTTGTTTATCACACATAAAAATCAGATAGTCACTATAAAATAGGTAACTGTTTTCAATTAATAAAAAACCGGTACGTATTTAATTTTTAGCACAATAAATTACTATCTAAATTGTGAAATTAAAAAAAAAACAAAAGTCTTTCACTTAGAAATATCTACCAAATAATCATAATAATGATCTACTTGGTTTCAAATCAGTGGCGTCATTTGGGGGGGGGGCAAGGTGGGCATTTGCCCCCCCTTGTCATTAGCGGGCTACTATCGGGCCGGTAGACTTGGCCGGCCCAGGCCGGGTATATGGTGCTAGTTTTGGGCCACAAGCCCGCAAAAATGATTCATAACATTCATGTCATTGTTAAATAGAATATAACCATGATTCGTGGCWCCTACTAACACGTAAATAATTATAAGGTATCTGACATCTGTATTCTGTATGTGCAGTGGTGGACTGGACGAGTGGGATACCGGGTTTCCCGCCTTCCCTGTAGGCCGCTACTCGTATAAAATATTTACTTATTAACATTATTGTGAAATAATAAATTTTAAATGTTATCGTCGTTATCGAATAACGGAATAACTAATAAGTAATAAGTAATAAGTATATAATATTATTAAACATAAAAATCCAAATTTCTGATTAATTTAAAATGCGGCAGGCGGGACCCATGGCTATAGAGTATAGATAATAATATTATCGTATGTATTTTATTATTATCAATAGCTATGGCGGGACCTAACCTTGTGTTCGGCCGGTCCGGGTTTGTTGATAACTCATTGTTACAAGTTTAAAATAGAATTGAAAATAATTATTACATGGGCCTTATGTTATCAAACTATCAAAGTTGGTATTTAACAGAATAATAAGAACCTGTCACTGCCTAGCATTTAAGCAACTTTAAAAAAACTTTTATTAATGACAAATATACAATAAAGTATTGTATGTTTTATTTTATTTTTTGTTAATACCATTAACTCATATTTGGTGCAAATAAGACATAAATTGGTGTAAAATTCCCCTTAGAATATGTCATCATATAGTAGCTAATAGCATTGAGCATATATTAATTACTCAATGCTAAATACTAATAGGTAATATAGGGTATCCCTCTATATATTATATTTAATATACCTATGTATTAATTAGTCATTGTTATCTTTCAAAAAAAATGTGTTATTTATGCCTAAAGTAACCACAGTTATCACAGATAACTAACTAGTATGTATATAATTGTGTAAGATGTAAGAAGACTGTTTGTACTGAGATAAAAATGTAATTGTTAGCGAGTGGTTTTTTTTTTTAAATTATGGCCTATGGGCCGGTCAAAATTTTTGCCACCCCCCCCCTTTCAAAACCTGAAATGACGCCACTGTTTCAAATTATACATTAAATTGAAGTATTCGTAATTTACCTAACTATTACATCATATACATTGTCGTTTATCATTTAGAAATACCRTAAACAAATGAACATTTATTACAAATATGTTGACCTAACTATATATCCCGATATCCGTATGTAATATTTGTCACCATTAAATACTGTGTTTGTAAATCCACATTAGTCATCTACTACACGGTTATATATGTGTATATTATTTATACTTGCGAAGAGTGTGCTACTTGATACAATTGCAGTTACAATACCATTTTGAATGATGTCTATAACACCAATATCAGTGACGAAATCACGTGAAATCTTAATCTTAATCGATAACCATAATAATTGTATTGTTTGTCGAGCGAATAAATGTCAGTTAATACTTTACACTTAGATTAGATTTTCAAATCATATTGAATAAAATCAAAATTATAAATTATTTATCAAAATAATTGAGATCAGAAGTCAGCAGAAATTTTTGAAYAGTTCATTTAAGTATAATGATGTCAATTTATATAAGAAATAGGCACGTAAAATTAATGATTAATTTAATTGTAATTGTTAAAAATAAATGAACAAGATACYTAAATGGAATCAATTTGTCTAGAT